TGTCATTGACTAACATTTCCTACTGGCTAGTACTCAAGGAAATTATCAAAGTATTTGTATCCCAAACAATAAATATTTCACTATGTTAATTTTTGAATTCTTCTGGAAGTTCCCCCCAAATATCACATAATATTTTTTCTAGCAAAAGCCTAGACGTGATATTTAGTAAAATGCTGTAGAAATATCTCAAGTTGTTCTGTAAATGCTAACTTTGAAAATACCAATGACATCATATTCAATGGTATATTCCTAATGCTATAGTTTTACTGAAAAGTAATAAAAATGACTTAGGGTAGTTGAAGGTCATGTAAAAGGTAATTTACTTCTGAAAACATTTTACTAACTTCATTACAAAAATTTTAAATTATAGTACACATATATTCCTTAGAATATGTGCTTTTAAACTCCAAAGTTGTTACATTAAAGTATGTGAAAATTCAGAATTTAAGTATAATTAAATCTGGATATCCAAAAATCTATTACAAATGAGCATTTAAAACTATGGTGTGATAAAAAATAGAATGAGGCAATCACATTTATTTAGTGCAGTTTCTACCCCAAACTCTTTCCAAGGCAAGAAGCATAAGAAAATAATAATATAGAATGATTAAATTCCGCTTGAGAAAAGCGAAACTGGCATCAAGAGAACATAAGCATATGATGTCTAAATACCTTGATTATTTAATTTTATTTTTTGTTTTTAATTAATACTTTAAGTTTGTATTTATAAGTGGTATACCAACATTGAAATGTTAGTTTGATGTAATTTTCTATTTTTTACTAGAAGGTAATTTGTTAAGTACAAGTTATATGAAGCACTAATTCAGATCTGATTATTCATGGATGTGTGTAGTACAGGTTGTTATTGTTTTTCTGGGTCAACATCTTTATGGGGAGGTACTGGAAGCTATACAATCTGGATGGAAAAACTTTGAGATAATTTGGTGCTTTGTGTTTTGGAAGTAGGTGTTGTGGTACTGAAAAGCAAAACATCCATTCTGGGACCTCTGTAAAGTAAGATTTATAGTTTTGATTTTTCAAAATTGCTAGAAGAGAAAAGAAACTGTGAAACAAAATTCTCAATGAAGTTTTATTTTCTTGATGTTTGTTGCTAGGGATGAAGCATAGCAGATGGACCAGAAAAACCAGTAACTAATGTGTGGCGGAGGGAGGAGGGGGATTTCTCAATAGAAAAAGGAAGAATGGTATGGAAAGCCATCACAAAATGAAACTGACATCTGTGTGAAAACCCTACAGAAAAATTCAGTTTAGTGGATCTAAATTATTATTTCTACCATCCGAATTCCAGTATTGGATTGGAGTGATGATCTTTTTGGATTATATTGTCTTCTACTTGTGATCTCATGAGTGTCAGAGTGAAAAAAGACCTGAAGAGTTTGGAGTGTGCATGATTCTAAAACTATACTCAAATCACATCTAGACAATCAAGATAAGTAAAAATAAATAAGAAAATTATAATTCTAAAACATTTGAATTTCATGTAGGGTGATATCAAGGACAGGTAAACATAAGAAGAAATGGCGGGTTTGGATAAGAATCTTGCTTAATTGATGCAGCTGTTAATAGACATATGGCTTTAAGTAAGTTTCTAGACCTCAGCAGTACCATTGTATTTCAAATCAGATGCACTTTTGTCTTTGGTACTCTTCTTGGTCTTGTAAAATTAGGAACATTCCTGGTTTCTACCACTTGATGCCCAGGAGGCTCCTTCTCACTGTAAGTTGAAACAATTGAAAATTTCTTCAGTGATTCCCAGTGTAGTAGTATCAAAGAGTTCCACAATGGTCCAGAATGGAGTGTAACAAAGTTTTATTTATTTGTGAATAAATTCACAGTAAGAGTAGCAATCCACAGTCTTCTGCATGTGCTGGGAACTGGAACCAAATCCAACATGCTTTTCATCTGCATTTAGTACACAAGACCATGCCCAGTAACTTAAAGGTTATTGGCTGAAGGAGTTCCCACAACACTCCAGATGTCTCCAACAGGCACAATCATCCATGGATGCGTATAAGGGGTTATACTGTTTTTCAACTTGGGGTGTCATGACTGTTTGAATGACAAAGCAGCTAAAGAGTTTGGAAAGATGTGTCAGTAGCTCCATTTTTGTTCCTGCAATATTAGAAACAACAAATTTTACGGCTGGGATTGCTAAAGGTCTGCTCTGGGAGTGACTGTTTTTGTGCATATATCTGATCTTGCAAAAGCCCAGTTCCTCAAATAATGCCTTCACTCTAGCATGAGCTTACCTAAGGTCTGTAGAACTCAGCTCAGTTGTTCAAGTGATGCCTGCGCAGAGATGAAAACCCAGAGGAGAAAAATTTATGAATTTCTTTGTAGTGTGGTTCATGGAAACTGTGCATTTTAGTCAGGAGCAGGGGTGTAAATCAGTGAGTTTATGATCTGATCTTTGAGATTAAATGTAGGATTAGAATTCCAGGATTAGATTATAGGGATCTAGGAACATGGAAAGCAACATTGATTAGGATGATGAATACACTCGATCCCACATTTTTGATGTCTTTCCATGTCCTGTAGAAAGGATGTAGTCTTTCCTAAGCTTGTTTTTAAGAACTACTCATCTTTAGAGTTTATGAATATTCTCTTAGATGGAATTTAACAAAGTTAAAGTACAAGTCCTTAGGACAAGGTAGCCCAAAAGTAACCACAAACAACAACCAGGACACAGCACTATCTTCCTGACCAAATAATTATTTTGGCAGATTTGTACTCCGAGAAAGAACAAGGGAGAGAGGAGAATACCAAGCTACGATAGGCTTCCCCACCGTGCACAGTGTGTACTGGCCTCTGTTAAGCTCCACATCCTTTTTAAAGTATGACGTTCTTGGAGCAGGTGTCAGTGTCACAAGTGATGCAATCTACCCTACATCAGTTTGAGGATAACCAGCTGTCTTAAAAGTCTGACGAATACTGATAAATGATGCTGTTCTAGGCTTCTTTATTACAGATGTGGATGAATTTTGAAACTCTTTAATGATAGGAATGTAAGATGACGTTCATTGAAAGATGTACTTTTTCACTCTTTGTCTAACTACATCATTTCCACTATCCTGAAAGATATTCTGAATCATTCATGTGGAACAATGAGTAACAATGCACACATACTATTTACCACTAACATAGTATATGACAGCAAACTTTTACACATGGAGGGTTGTAAATATAGACATTAGATACAGATGTACAGAGGAGAGACAAAATACACATTATGAACATTTCCTTGGAGATTGTCAATGATTTATTTGAATATCTAAAAGGACAATTTAAAATTAATCAGAGAAAATGTAAAAAGAAATAATACTTCTTTGATGTTTGGGGGCATGTAGTAGAAATTTTAGAGTCAAATTAGTCAACTGCCCAACCATCCAACCAAGCAGCCACATCCTACATATACTACCTAAATCCTGACCATATTTTGACCTTCAGTAGACTCTTAAGCTCTTCAGGGTGCCCTCAACAGGACCTGGTATATTTAAGCCTTCAATTTGGATATAGTCTTTGCCAAGTTCTCATGATTGTCTAATGTTTATTTACAGGAAAATGTGGATCTGACTGAAAGTTCAAAGGTGGCCAGTATTATCTTTCCCTTCATGAGCCAAACATTTTAATCCTTGAACAAAACAAAACTTTAGTAGTGCGCAGTAAGTCTGTGACTTTTATTTACACCTAAGAGTAAAGAGGAGGGCCATCAATGTAGCAGAAAGAAAACCCTTTCCATAGGACCATATATGAAATCTTGATTTAATGCATAAATTGTAATATACTTTAGCTGTGGCATAAGGGCAACAAGGAAAAATTATTATGCAAAGAACTAATACTCATTCTTCTGTCTTATATCTTGGAAAGGTTAACATGATATGACTGCTGAGGAGTTTGAGAAAATGTCATATTTTAGAGTCACAATTAACACCTTTTTGGGGGGGGTGTAGAAGTCTCAGAATTTGAAAATTACTTAGTAATTTTGGCCACTGTGAGTAGATGCTAGGAATTATATTTTTCCCTATTTAATTTCTGTAAAATGTTAGAAGATGCAAGGGGGTCCTAGCTGTTGGCATCCCAAAATTACTCATCAATTTTTAACTTCCAAATTAAAGGTGAAGAAACATTAATGCATGGAGAAGAAAGTGGATTATTAAATTGCACAAATGCACATGTATCTCATCTACAAAGTCTTGTAAAATCTCAATTTTGGTAAAATTTATCTAAGTGAGATTTAATTTTTTTTATTCAAATAAAGTTATATTTTTAAAGATGCCTAAAAAACAAGACATAATTTGATACTGAAAACAAGAGATAACTGAAAGAATGCTGATGTTCTCAAGGCCTTAGCTTGTATAGCATTGGAGGAAGGAAGGATATACAAGGCTCACATACAGATAGCATATTAGTTACATCAATACGTTATAAGAGGCCCTTTCAATGCTTTTGTACTTGAATTATCAGATACATGATATCTGTAGAGATTCTGGGTAGAGGGAGTTGTAAAAGTGAAAACAGGTAGGAGAATCTGGCAGTTTAGAAAGAGTACAGAATAGAAGGAGAGAAGAGGAGAGGGGAGAGAGAGAAAGGGAGAGAGAAGAAGAGAGGGAGGGACAAAGACACACACAGACAGATTTTCTTACATTCTCTTCAAACCTTGCTATATGGGATACACATTGGGTGACAAATGTAAAGAGTAATTTTGTTCTTGGGAACATGATTTGACTGAGAAACTTCTTTAATAGATGATATTTACATGTAATGAGAGTTTACAGAGTAATGTACTCATTTTAATCAACCATTATGGGTTGTCAACAGTGACTGGAATGCAATAGTTTAGATTTTTGTTAGTTAAGTCAGGGAATGAATGGTATGTTTCGACAATTACTGGCAGTATATAAAGGTCCCAGGATAGTAGAGACATCTACACTTGACAGATATCCTTTGGCAACCCAAGTGAATCCTCCCCTATTGGCAACATGTGTTGTAACTACTACGGAAGCTCCTGTGGCTATGGCTCCGGCTATGGCTGTGGATATGGCTCTGGCTATGGCTGTGGATATGGCTCCGGCTATGGCTCTGGTTATGGCTGTGGATATGGCTCCGGCTATGGCTCTGGTTATGGCTGTGGATATGGCTCCGGCTATGGCTGTGGATATGGTTCCGGTTATGGCTGTGGATATGGTTCTGGCTATGGCTGTGGATATGGCTCTGGCTATGGAAGTGGCTGTGGATATGGCTCCTACTATAGGTCTGGATGCTGTGGTTACCGACCATCTTGCTACAGAAGATGCTATTCTTGCTGCTAGAACATCCCCAGGAGATGAGCAGTTGCTTCTGAACTGACACTTCTGAAGATAATGCTTCTTTAAAGACCCATGGCCAAGAAACTACGAATCTGTCAAAGCCTTTGACCTCCAGCTACACAGTTTTAGAAGGCAACTTTGTGATCTGGAATCTGCAGTATCATCTTACTAGCTCTCAAATGTCAGTCTTTCCTCTCTTGCTTTCTGATTCCATTGTCTCAATGTGTTAATGGCTGTAATATCTACAGCTGGGATCATAATTTATTTTCAATAAAATGGGCCTTGGTTTGTAACAAACCTTTGTGTACTTGTTTGTGAGATATCCCTGCCTTGACTTATCTTGAAAGCTGGGTTAACTCTGCATTGAGTGAAGTTTAAGGATCACTTTGATTTGATAGGTGTGAACCTTCTTGTTTTGCCTCAATAATGTCTTCCCTACATGTTTTCTATGCACATCTCAGGACTTCATTCGTCAAAGCACAAGCCACAGAATGCATGTGCACTGAGCTTTGAACATAGCTCTGTGTCTGAAATGGGGATGGAAAGGGTAAGAGTAGAAGGATGCGACACAGTTCCTAGGCTATAGCAAATGTCCCACAGGGACAGACACAGCCTGAGAGCTTAACGGAGTAATGAACTGGGAGAGCCTGTTTTCCGAGTCATGGAGGAATTAAAGCTAGACTTTGATATTAGGTGAGAGAACTAAAACCTTAGAAAGGAACGGGCTAGAATAAAAATATTTTATTACACACCCTGCATCAGATAGAAATACAAATATCTTTGCTGAATTGAGCCAAGAGGTCTGGCTCACTCAAACAGCAAGCGTTTTTGAACAGGCCACATCCTGGATATGGTGAGAATATTTCTGGGCTCTCAGGACATTTGCCTCACCATGGAGAAGATAGCCAGACAGGCAACAGTGATGACACATACTGACATATGATTCCAGCTGAGGGGCTGCAGTGTAGTGGGAAACAGTGCGGTGGATCAGTCAGACAGCTCAGGGATGTATTTTGAAGTTGTGTTCTTTGAGCTACTACTGAAAAAATGACAGTAGTAACAAAAGACAAGAAAATTTAGTAGCCAGTGCTAAGTAGCTAAAGAAATTCCTTACGTTTTAGGACCAGATAAAAACGCCAGAATCAGTGGTCAGACAAGGCTACTGAATATGTGAAGTGTGGCAAATTTTAAGTGAAGTGTAAAATATATGCTTGCTATCAAACAACTTGTCAGTGGGGCTCTCTTGGAGGGAATTAGACATGACAATGGGATTCATTCATTTCTTTATTTTTATTATATTTTTTCCTTTATTGAAAATAGATATTTTCTCATATATCAATAATGGTTTCCCGTTCCTTTACTCTTCCTGATTCCTCCCCATGATCTTCCCACTTATCCAGATCCACACTGCTTCTGCTTTCATTAGAAGACCAATAGGCTTCTAAATAATAATAATATAATTAAATATAATATAGTAATTTAAAACAAAATCAAACATGTTGAAATTGGACAAAACAAACAAATAAACAAATAAAAACATAAGGAAAAGATCCCAAAATGGCATAAGAAACAAAAATAGACACAGAAGTTTATTCTCTTGTTTTCTCATGATCCCATAACGACATGAAACTGGATGCCATATTACACACAAAAAGAACCTGTAGGCCTAAAATAGAAAAGAGAGACAAATAAAAATTTAAAAAGTAAGAATAAGACGAAAATAATTAAAGTTAAAAAGAAAGAGAAAAAGAAAAAGCCCTGACATGACATTAGGAGACAAATTCCCAAAGATGCTGTTCAGTTTGTTTTCTGTTATCATCTGTCTCTGGGCATGAAACCTACCTGATGTGGGATTCACCTCTGTATTCTGTGAACATGTTTGATTACTGTTGGTTAATAAAGAAGCTGCTTTGGTCTTTGGCAGGGCAGAATATAGCAAGGCAGAAAAATCCAAGTAGAGATAGAGGAAGAAAGAAGGTGGGATTAAAGAGATGCCATGTAGCTGCTCAAAGAGAAAAATGCCAGCACCTAACAGTTGGCCACAGCCTAGTGGTGATACAAAGATATAATAGGTATGGGTTAATTTAAGATATAAGAACTAGCCAGGATTAGCCCTAAGCCACTGACAAAGCAGTGTTGTAATTAATATAGTTTTTGTCTGATTATTCAGATCTGGGTGGCCAGGAAACTAAAGTGCAGTCTGTTAGTACCTAACTTAATTATAGTTTGTTTTCCCAATGAGTTTCCCTTGGAGAAAAGTGTATTTTAACTTGCAAGTGGCTATTAAATTGAAGCTAGCATCTGAGTTAGGGATGGGGGCATGTGTCCACTTCTCCTTTCAGCTCTAGGTTTCCACCTGGTGCTGACCTGTGTAGGCCCTGTGCATGCTGCCTCAGTGTCTGTGAGTTCATGCGTACAGTGGTCCTGTTGTGTTTAGAAGGCCTCGTTTCCTTGTCCTCTACCCTCTCTGGCTCTGGCATACTTTTTGCTTCCTCTTCTATAAGGTTCCCTGATCATGGGGTGTAGGGATTTGACAGACATATCCCCTTGCATAGTCGAGTGTTCTTAGGTCTTTAACTCTCAGTATATTGTCAGGCTGTGGGTCTCTGTGTTTGTCTATTATGGAGGAAGCTTCCTTAATGATTGCCAAGCAAGCCACTGATCTCTGAGTATGGCACAATGTCATTAGGAGTTATTTTATTGCTACGTTCCTTTAGCATAGCATTTGATTTACCCTAACTTCCTGGACTATCAAGTCTTATGCTTTTTGGGTCACCCAAGCAGTGTCATGTTTGGCTTCCATCTCACGGGTGGGTCTTAAGTCAAGCCAGAGGTTGGTTACTCTGACAAACTCTGTGTTGTCATTGCCCTAACATATCTTGGAGGCTGGACAACAGTTTATATAGAAGGGTTTGTAGCTGGATTATTGTTTAGGTTTATCCTTTGATAATAGGCAGAGTACCTTTTGGTACCACGAACATTAGCCAGTAGGGGTGAAGGCTTCAGATAAGCACCAGTGTGATCATATTCAATGAGCTGTCTTCATCAATAGGGCCTTTCCATTAGTTTGTAGAGAGAAGTCTAAGCTTTGTCTACTTTCCTGGTTGACTATGAAGTATAAAGTATACTGTTTTCTGTGTTTTGACTAGAGTGTCTTGTTATGACTTCAGCATGAAGAACTCTTACTTGGATTGTATAGTAGAAGCTATCTGGATACAGGCAATCATGTTTCAACCAGCACTACTGTCATTATCTCAGCTTATGAATGGATTATCATTCAAAGCCTAATTTTCTGGGGCCCCTGGTGTTTGCAGTCTTCCCAAAAAGACTAAGTTCTAGGGACAGTGTGATAACCAGTCAGTCTTGAGATTAGGTCTAGGATAGACTGTCCAACTGAGTGACTCAGACTTTCTCTAAAGAACAGGACCTTTTGCAGCTGGTACATTTGCAAATCAGATATGAGCACTGTATGTTTTGTGTGATCCTGATGTAAGGGCTACAGACAGTGGAAAGAAATTCTAACAATTATAGTGCTTTGGAGATCATATAAGCTCATTTTCCTTGTCATTGAGGGCACTCTGAAACAGAGAAGGATATCATTTAGTAGACATGTGTAAGATGTTTTCTATATCCAGGAAAGGAGCTTAGCAAACTGATAGTTGACATTTCTTCTGAATCTGAAATGTGATGGTTTTAGTAAAGACATTTTGAGAACTTCAGCTTCTGTAAGATGAGGAAATGATAATAATACTAATAAAATATGGTGATCATAACATTAGAGAAAGTTTGTGTGTGTGATAGCATTTGTGTGAATGTGTGAGTGTGAGAGTATGTGTGAATACATGGGCAAGTGTATGTGGATATGTGAACTTGCGTACGTGAATGTGTGTGATTGGGAATGAGTGTGTGAGATATAGTGTGTGTTTGTGTGTGTAGAATTAATATGATGAAGGTTAGGAAAATGAGTATTTGGCACACACACACATATATGTATACGTTATTCACATCATTGGGGAAAAGGAGGAAGACCATTAATACTATGACATACAGTTTGGAGCCAGGAATGAGTTAAGCTTCAAAAACTCTTCTATAAGAAAACTACAATGCCTTACATTTTTGAACTCTTGCATGTCATGGAGATTCTGCACTGTGCAAGTAAGTATCTATTCATTTAGCCATTTAACAAAAAGTAAAGGCTTATGATATATTTTTAACTGTTTGACATATAGGAACAAAATGAGAGCCTAGACACTATTGGAATTCAGAATCTTTAGGTGGTTAAAAAGTGGTCACTTATAATTTTACTTTATAGTTAGTAGCTGTGTGTGCAGATACTCTGTGACTACCATGTGGGAATGAGGTGGCATCTGTCTGAGTATGAAGTTGAAGGGCAAACCAAGGTCAGAAACTGCTTCCAAAGGAGGATGAATGGAATCAGATTCACAGAAGAGGAGAAATAGATTAAGAGTCGATAATTTAAGGAAAGAGGTCTATAAGGTGGATATTTCTTCCTAGATCAATGAACCCACTGAGAGAAATTTCATGAATAACTTCCATTGAGTAATTTTCAGATCTGTTGAGTAAGCTGCAATGTCAGGTGTGAAAGCCACTTGCCAGAAATTGCCATCAGACACTTGAAATATTACTGTTCTAAAAGGAAATCTAAAATATATACTAGCCACCAAATGCCATACTAAACATTGTTAATATATTGATTGGCAGTATATTGGCATTAAATGAATTAAAGTTATATAAAGGGTACAATGATAATTCATCTATTAAAATGAATCTTAAAATGTGCTCAGTGGGAATATGTGAAACCTAGCCCCAATTGGTACATTTACAACAACATTCCTGTACCTAAGGCTTAGAGAATATTGTTGAAAATGTGGAAGAATGTAGAAGCCAGATAACCAAAAATTCCTTGAGATTGGAACTTCTAGCTATGGCAGGGAAGTTATACCCACAAAATCTCACCTGCATGGCTGCCTGAACAAGACCAG